ATCTTTTATACAAATGATACATATCATTAGTTCTACTAAATAGCAAACGTGATTAGTTATCAGTTTCACGGCCGATTAAGTAATTGGCATTGGTGAAATAGAATTTAACTTCATAAAGATGGTGCCACATGGGGTTATAGATATCTACATGCCGAGTCGCACCACCACCCAGCACAAAAACAGTCAACAATCAACTCACTACATAGAGCTTTCTCCATCTCTGACAAAGGCCATCTACAGACAGAACTTAACCATCTCAAACTGGCCTTACAGAAAAACGAACACGACAAAAAAGACATAACCAAAATAAACAATAAACATGCAAACAACGGTCTCTGACACACAACCAGACAAAAGGATCCTAACCATTCTGCCACATGTCAAAGGAACAATAGATCAGATTGACAGGACATTAAACAAACACAATATCTGAACTATCTTCAAACCATTCAAAAAGATAGGACAAATCTTAAAAAATCCTAAAAATCAAAAACCTCCACTCAGTTCCGCAGGAGTATACAAAATACCTTGTTTCTGCGGGAAAGTATACATTGGAGAAATTTGGAGAATGGTCAATCTACGGATTAAAGAACTCCAACGTGATGTCAGGCTAAAACACCCCACGCAGTCGGCATTATCAGAACACAACATCAAAACAGGACATCAAATACTTTTTGACAAAACGACCACAATAGCCAATAGTACATCATACTTTCCAAGAAAGTATGGAGCAGCCATAGAGATATAAAAACGCCCTAACAATTTAAATATAGATAATGGCTACAACATAAATAAAATATGGAAGACCATTTTCCCGGTTATTGAAGACCGACCAATTGCACCACATTTTTTCCCTTCCACAATTCCTTCCCCTTTCCGCCCACCCCACCACCCCAACAAGCAGCGTAATATAAAAAGGAACGGCCTGGAGGAATAGCTCAGTATTAGGTTACACCTCGCCCTGATGAAGTGGACTGCAAGGTTCACAAAACGTTGGCATCTCAAGAATGGATCTGGGCATGGAGGAAACCAGCGAAACGCATAATCTTTATGTGTTGACGATTGTTGCAAAGTAATGGTTTACATGCACGAGTTCCAAGGAGAAAACCATTAGCAAAAAAAATAAAATTCTACATTTAAAATTTGCTAAATAATTTATTAACAAAGACAATTCGTTTTGAGATACAATATTATTTTCAGACGAATATAAATATAATATTTTTAATAGTGATGGTCGTAAAAGTGGACAAAACAAAACACACAATTAGAAGCAAGAACTCTATGGCCATCAATAAAACATAATAGTGGAATCCTAATGGTTTATGGCTGTATAGCAGCTAGTAGAGTAGGAAATATTGTGTTCATCGATGGGATTTTAGATAAAATGAAGTATTTAACAATTTTAGAAGACAATTTAAAAGACAATGTATCAAAATTGAATCCATCAAATAATTATTGTTTCCAATCGTACAATGATCCGAAACATTCAACGAAAATTGTCAAAGAATGGGTACTGTATATATAACATCCTGCACATATTGCCACATCCACTAAAGTTTTGACTTAAATCTTATCGAGTTTTGTAGAGACTTGTGGAATGAGTGAGAAGAAGCTTACGAAATACAGTTTTTACTCGAAAGAAATATTAAAACGGGATATTATTGATATATGACAATCAATAAACACTGAAATAGATTTCAAATGTTACTTTGAAGTTAGTCCAGTCAATGAAAAATCGTTTTAGGGCTGTAATGAAAGCAAAAGGTAGATCTCAACTCTAATTATATATTAAAATTTTTGATTATTCGATTTAAATAACTATTAAACGTATCATTATTAAATATATTGAATATTTTTATGAGTCACGTATGATGCATGTTTACAATAAATTTATTATAAAAACTAATACATCGTTAAATTATTTTATAATTTTGTAATCTTAAAACCTCTTTATCTCTTTTATATATTGTTTAAAAGGCTGCAATTGAATATTTCACTTCATTGAATATTAAAAATGTAAGCGTTATAATACTTTCGTGTATGTGTGTATATACGTTAGATCGTATAATATACAGATTTTTATATATTTCGTATTAATTACAATTGTTGTATTGTAAATTCATGAGCATAATACCATTACAAGTTTGTATGTTTCCATTTATATGTCGATTATAATGTATATAATTTGATATATGCAATTATTCTAAGAATAAATAAGTTTGCTATTCTGTCATTTTTGTTATATACATTAATCGAAAATATCAAATATCTTCTTCACGAGTTGTACACGTATATCGATTACTATTTACTTCTTAAAGGTACCGTTATTTTCTAAATCATATACATATTTTTTTGCAATATATTTTTTGTTTTGTATCTCATTTTTGTTTTTCCTTTATCCAATATATCCTGTATGAAATTATCAATCCAATATATTCAATACGAAATTATTAGTTATTTATTTTTCCTCTCTGAAACATGCCAGTATGTTGTCAACTTCTCCTTCCCTAGCCTCTCCTGTTTGTTTTATTTTTACGCACCTATAACTAAAACAGGAATAAGGCCTGGCTGTGACCTGACAGAGTTAGACACGTGTTGGGACCCAAAACTACCATACCGTAAGCAGGGAAATAAACGGATGTTCGCATCGGGGTCTGCGTTGACTGACACTGCAAGAAGGCAAAATCATCCACCTTTAGATAGTACGACCAATAGTTATATACCACATGATTCTAATTTATTGCCTCCGACTGTCACGATACACAAAGGCCGTAAGGATATCATATTATATATAAAAATATTTGTAATTATAGTATTATAACTTATGTCATTTATATGACTTTATTTTCTTTTTCTTTATTATAAACAGAAATTGTATACCATCCACCTATGGACGAAATTGTGCTTTATAAAACACTGAAAAACGAATGCGAACCATCAGTAATGTTTGCAATTAATCATAATCTTTACGCATATGTGAAAATAACCAATTGTAAGTATAACCAATTGTACAATAAATAAATAAATTATGTTGCCAGTATATCTGTAAGAATCTTATTCATATGATTTGTACAATAAATAAATTATGTTGCCAGTATATCTGTAAGAATCTTATTCATATGATTTGTAGTAAATTGCTGCGTAAACAAGATCTGCTGGAATGTGACATCGAGAGGTCTTGCTTGTATTGGTCAGGATGAAATCATTTTATTAGTTGAAATTTTGCCAGATGAAACACGGATTCCAAAGGAACTTCTCATATATATTAATCAATTATATCTCGAAGCTATTAAAGGTAATGTCTCGTATGTGTACATATGTTACTTGACACACACACACACACACACACACACACACACATATATATATATATATATAAGGGTGATTCAGACCACCCGGAGGTGCCGGTACGTACGTATTCCTCATGAAAAACTGAGTCGAAAATGTCAATAGCAAAATGTTGTGGAGTCAATAGTTTTTAAATAGCGAGCCTTTGAAATCTTCCAATCACAGGACGTGAAGTTCGCGCCGTCAGGTGCGGCTCAACCAAGCGCCGGCCGCGCGAGCGCTTTGATGGATACCGCTAAACTACACGATGCCGAATGAGTATTGAAAAAGTTTTGAAATTTATAAAAATTTCGATAAACATTTCGATAAAAAGTCGATAAACATTTCCAAAATTGGTTTACAAAAAGTTCTATTATAAACAATATTAGAGAAAATGAAAACGAATATTAGAGATATTTCCTTTCATATTGTAATTCGGAATTTCGTTTATTTCATTCCTTAAATATGAAACAGTTATTTATATCGAATGCGAATTTTCAAATGTACATTTTCTCTAATATTGTTTATAACAGAACTTTTTGTAAACCAATTTTGGAAATGTTTGTCGACTGATGTTTTTAATATTATTTATTTAAATAATTTAATTAATATTGATTTTATTCATTAATTTGTTTATTATTTAAAATGTTCGAAAAATATATACTTTTTTATTGATATAAATGATGTTTGCTGATAATCGAATTTGTAATTGCGACATTACTTCTCGTCAATTAAATTAGACTCAATTTAAACATACAGCAGTAGATGTTTATAAAAATTTCAAAACTTTTCCAATACTCATTCGGCATCGTGTGGTTTAGCGGTATCCATCAAACCGCTCGCGCGGCCGGCGCTTGGTTGCGCTGCACCTGACGGCGCGAAATTCACGTCCTGTGATTGGAAGATTTCAAAGGTTCACTATTTAAAAACTATTGATCCCACAACATTTTGCTATTGACATTTTCGACTCAGTTTTTCATGAGGAATACGTACGTACCGGCACCTCCGGGTGGTCTGAATCACCCTGCATATACAGGGTGTCTGGAAATCACCGTCAAATGTTTCGTACGTGGATAGACTATACTGAGTTGAAAAGTCCTGTACCATTTTGCGGTATCAGCAATATTTAACGAGATAATAACGTTTAAAGGTAGCCGAATACGCGCGTCTACCCGACCTACTATTGTCGAAGGTATGGCCCACCGAGCGCACGGCGCGCGGGCCGCGAGGAACGGGGATGGCCTAGCAGGCGAGCCTCTAAGCTCGAACGGCGCGGCGCGCCTGCTGGGGTACCTTCAGCAATAGTAGCTCGGGCGGACGCGCGTATTCAGCTATCTTTAAACGTTAATATCTTGTTAACTATTGCTGACACCGCAAAATGATACTGGACTTTTCAACTCAGTATAGTTTGTTCTACCCACGCACGAAACATTTGGTGGTAATTTCCATATATATATATACAGGGTGTTTAAAAATTTTCGAGATGCCTGTCACGAACAGGTAGAACGGACCGAACTGAATTGAAAATTCTTATACCATTTTGTAGTTTGTGTAATAGTTAACGAGATATTAACGTTTAAAAATAGCCTTCTTCTTCTTCCTAGCATTTGGCCAGGCAGCCAACCAGGCTGAAACTAGGCCAATTTAAAAATAACCGAATAAGCGCGTCCGGCCGACCTACTGCTGCCGAATATACAACCTACCGTCCCCACCGATCGCACGACGCGCGGGCTGCTGGGAGTGGGGATAGCCTGCTAGGCGTGCCGTTCGAGTCAAGACCAGTGATGCACATTTGGCTCCCCGGCAATACGGAATCCAGCCCCACCACTTTTACCCCCACCTACCGGCATCGAGTCGGCCGCGAGAGCGAGCGAGGCAGCGAGAGGCAGCGCCCGTCCTTTTCGCTCTATCAGTAATTCGTAAACACATGCGGGTATTAGAGCGAAAAGGACGGTCGCTCTATCTCGCTGTCTTGCTTTCTCTGCTAGTCGCTCATTACAAGCGACCGAATACCGAAAATGTACCTTCTCGGCCGCAAGGCGTATTCTTATACAGGGTATCCCGATCTTTTTTGCCAATCACTTTTGTATTCATAGAGCGGATTAAACTGAGTCGAAAAGTCCTCTACCATTTTGCAATTTTCGCAATAG